TTGGGCCTAATCTTAAAGTATTGAGAAAGATACAAAGTCAAGTCTACAAATAAACAAATGTTGAGTAGAATTGCTTAATTCAACATTCTTTAGGCATCTTCTTTTTTCATTGCTAGTCTTAGGTTTTGTATGAAATTAATGTGAAAAGCTAAAAAGTTTGCAAAAATAAAAAAATTTAATTAATTTTGCACTTAAGAAATCCAATTTTGCATAGTAAATTTATTGAATATCAAGTATTGGAGATTATTAATTATTAATTAAAAAACCAAATTGATAGATTGAAATTTTATTGGCTATTGCAGCATATCAAATATAATAGCATTGAATTTGACAAGTTTAGATATACTTACATTTATTTTTTTATAAAATTATATTAATAGGATTTAAATAAATTATTTAAATAAAAAGCATTATTTTGAGAATTTTTTTATAGTTGAATAAATAACTTATACGTAGCAATATCTTTAAATTAGTATATTTTTTATTTAGTCATATTTAATATATCTATAAAATACAAGAAATTATCAATTTTTTATCAAAAAATTATTTTCTACAAAAAAAATACCAAATAAAAAAAACATTGTAATAAAGGCTAATGCATCTATATCAAATTAAATGAACTTAATTGCTAATTGTTTATTACATAATAATATTAACATCTTTAAAATATTAATATTTTAAAATTTTATAAGATGGTATTATTTTTATTAATATTTTAAAAACCTTTGAAGTAGAAAATTTATTCTTTTTATATCCTAGTTAATATTTTTATTTGTATGTAACAATCACACAAATCTAAAACTTATTTTTATTAGTCTTAATTTTTTATGCATTTGATATAGAATAAATAATTTTATTTAATAGAATAATAATAAATTAATAAATAAAATAAAATTCTTATTATTATATCTAATTAATCTTTATAATCCTATAAATTACTACTATTATATATATTACTTTTATTATTATTATTTCTTATCAAGATTTTATTAATAATTATAAATCTTCTTATTTCTTTTGTACTATCATTAGATTGGATACAATAAAATAAGAACATTAAATAGTTTCAAGCTTTTATTATATTGATCCACTCATTTTAAACATTATGAAAAGAAAAAAATGACTTCTAGATTCATTTTTGTACTACTATCTCTACAATCAATGAAAATCAATCACATTCATCATAATTATCATATTCTTCATCATAGATGGATTGATTTAATAGAAATATGGATCTATTTAATATCCTCCTAAAATATAATAAAGTACATTAAATCACAAGTTGAATAAAAAAATTATTTTTAGTCAATAGAGTTATATTTAATTTTTAGGATTTTTTTAATACTTTATGAAAAATTGATAAAAATTAAGCTATTCAAAATTTAAAAAATTAAGCAATACAAAAATCATAAGTTGTTATTACTTTTGGTCTTAAAAGTTGAATGTTTATACAAATAATCATGAACTACATAAATGTGGAAAAAATTGCATTTAATTCGCAATTGAAATAGATCATGCTTTGTCATAATATACTAAGATTAAAATACACACAACTAATGTATGTTTTTTTCATCTGAAAATAAATGTAAAAAATTATAATTGACATGATATTATAGTTTTTAAGAATTTTAAATAACATGTAAAATCGAAAAAAAAAAAAGTAATGTCATTTTGGATGCAATAAGTTGGCAAGAAGATTAGTACGAATTGAATGCAAGTCTTGCAACTACTACCATAACATGAAAGAGTATTATATATATACGTTTATATAAAAAAATATTTTTTTAAAAATAAAAATAAATTTTAAAAATGTATTTTTTTTATAGAAATTAAAACTTGGATAAAAAAATATCTATATTAAATTAAATTTATATACCTGAAGAAAACCTGAAATATTAGGATTTAAATAAGAATAAATTATTTTTAACTTTAAGTATGTATAATAGATAATATAGGTTAATTTTGAAGATATTATTTCTACTTAAATGTTAGTTATAAAAATGTCAAAATAAAGATCTAATTAATAAATAATCTAATTTAATTTAAAATTTGAGAATATTCCTATAGATATAAGTTAGATTTTTGAAACCATTTTTAATCATCTAAAGGACCAAATATATTGATTCTAAAGCTATTATCAAGATTGAGTGTTTTTTTTTTTATGTTGTTATTTTTAAAAATATATATTTTAAATAGTAAATAAATAATTGTCTTTAAATAAAAAAATATCCAAAAATTAAGTCAAACTTTGAAATTATATCAAATTTTGGTTTTTACAATCCAAATAAATTTGGAAGAATAAGTGGAGCTAACTAAACTTGGTTTTAATGAAACAATAGGCTTGTACCAATTTACTCTTATTATTACTAAGATACATTATGGAGCAATACCACTTCAATCATTAGATTTAGTATTTGAATATATACAATCAAGATTTTATTAGATGTGATAATAAATATGTTTTCTTAAATTAATAAATTATATATATATATATATATATATATATATATATACTGATTTTAATAATCTATAATTACATATATAATATAAAATTTTAAAATATAAAACATGTAAAATAAAATTTAATATTAATGAATATAAAATATCAATAATTTTAATAAAATTACTTATAAAAAAATATTTATGATATTTTAAATTTTCAATTAAAACCAAAGGATACAAAATAAATAAATAAATAAATAAATCTAAGAAGATCTTATGTTTAGTGGAATGAAAAATAATAAACTTAAAAAATGATTTATATATATATAATCAAAAAGTTATTAAAGAAGAAAGATTGTGCCTCTACTTTAAATTGCGTGTTACAAAAATATCTGTAAATTATTTGTCATTGGTAGTTTAGATACAGTCTTCATATTAATTAATTCTTGTCAATCAACTACAAAATATAATTCTTTTAGAACTGTAACAAAGTGTGACTAGGTTATAGTTGGATCCTAATAATTAGAACTCAGAGAAGACTTATGATTTTTAATCAAGGTTAAAATTTTACTAAGCCTTGTTGACTCTTGGACCATATAGCAAATTAGTTAATAATGTTAAAAATAAAATATTTACATTTCTTCCTTATTAAAAATAAAACCACAATTTCTGAATATACGGTTAAGAAACACTTATATACAATGGTGCTACTTGATTTTTTTTTTTTTTTTTTTTTTTTTTTTTTTTTTCAATATCGTTAAAACAAGTTTATATGAATTGAAAAACACGATGATATTTTTCTTTCCAATTTAGAATTTGTTGCTAGAATTTCAATTGAGTATAAAATTATTTTGTATTTTTATTATCAGTTAGTTATGAATTTTTATTAAAATTAAAATTTTGTTGGAATATAATTTATACTACATATTTTTGGATTTTTCATTAATTAAATAAAAATACTATAATTGTTTTTGTAACAAAGTATAGAAACTGGTGTTATTAAAATCAATCATAATTTTAGTGAGATCCCCAGTGATTAAACTACGCTATTAAATCTCAATGTAATAAATTTTATGAAATTCTTAAAAAATTACAGACTTAAGCATTAAATTAATTTTATCTTATCCACGATTCCTTCACAATTTGTAACATTCTTGTACAGAGAATAAATTTTCATTACTTTGAAAATTTAAAACTGCCACCAACTTTAGTCGAAATAATACATATGAAATTTATTGAAATCTTATCAAATTTACATAAAAATCAAGATTCAAATAAATAGATAAAACAAAGTACACAATTGAACAAAAAATCTGCATTGTACCTTCTACGAACAGTGCAACGTCTACACATGAATCCTCCCATTGTCAGCAGCATTTTTACATACACGCTACTTCGGAAAATCCAGTCCTGATATCTTCCACAAGTCCCGCCAAGAATCGACATGAAACCGCATACCCACTTCACCGAAATCTGCACACAATTCCTGGACCGCATGCACAACATATATAAGCACAGAAACACCTTCAAACGGTGTCTCAGAAGCAAAAAGCATCGTTGTGGAATAGAAAAGCATGCATTTGTCGATCTGCATGGTTCAACTGTGCGCAGAGAAAGCATGGCTGGGGTGCTGATCATGTTGTTGCCACAAGTTTTGCAACGCCTCCATGGACAATCAGAACTGCGGAACAAAGCAAGATTTCATGCACTGATTGATGCCGCCATTCACGTTTCATCGAACCCGGAGGACTTGACCCGGAAGCATTCCGATCCTTGTGATCGAATCTGGTTGCAGTTTTCTGAGTTCCTGCGGAGCTAGGTTTTATTTACAGTTTGTGATTCGGAGACCATCACGGTTTGTAAGGAGATGTAACCGCGTCGTCTGCTTCCCGAATCAAAAGATTTCTGGGTCAGATCTGTGGAGTCGCCCAGGGTTTGGTAACTGGGATTCGAAGCTCCGCAGTCGCATCTAGACGGGATGCCTGCAGATAGCGACCCAGTCAAAAAATCTGCGCCGCGGGTTTGCGGTTAATTTGTGAGTCATTTGACTTTTGGAAAAGTAGGAATGGAGATGAGGTGTACGTCTCCCTGATCCGACGTCAGTTTTTGAAACGACCTGGGGAAAAGAGAACAGTGTCGAAGCATCCGCGCCGAGCTGGACTCGTGGAGCGCGAGTCTTCAGAAAAATGATCACCCTGGCTTTGCTCTTAAGCTTGCCGTCGGAGCCTGATTGCTGCGCTCGCACACATCAGACTCACGGATTTTAACCCAAATGGTGTGGGGGTGTTACCCAAATGGTGTGGGGGTTTTACCCAAACTGCTCATGTAGATTTTTCCCTATCTCGGCAGCTTGCGCTGAAAGAAACTACCCCACTTGTTTGATCACAAGACAGCTACTCTCTCCTGATCTTTGAATGCGACGGTGTCTCCAAAATGGGGATTAGAATCCGTATCATGGGAATTGTTCCTAAATTTGGGATGTTAGCTCCAACTGGCGCTAATAGCGGTAGCTTTTGAGCAATCATGGGATGATCTATAATTAAGTCGTCAGCTCTTTAGACCAATACATCTTCGCAGCATTTCCAGTTGGTTCTCGCCGAACGTGGTTGTTGGCCAATATGAATTGACGCTAGCTCCATGATGTCTGGTACTAGCTGCACAGGGGTGCGCCTAACTGAGAGACTTCTCATGTTTCGGCTGGTCGAGATGGTTTTGTTCGTTCTGGCTTGTTCTTTGTTTACGAATATGAAAAAGAAACTTTCCATTTCAAGAGTCTACGCAATGTTGCGATTGCGAAGTGCTCAAATGTTTCTTGAGATCTATAATCTGTAATTGCGAGTTTTGGGGAGGTTGGAAGTTGCCGCGGACTTGTTGAGCCCTTGTTGACAGAAATGTCCTCACCGAAGTCCGTGACGAGGTCAGGAAAGACCTCCACGTTCATAGGGAATGGCGACACCAACGCCATACGGGCGCCATTAGAGCAGTGGACGGGCATAGGGAGCAGCGATGGAAAATCAGCCGATGATTTTAGCAATGCAGCCAACAACAGCGACCGAGTGAAGGTCATAAACAGTCGGGAAAAGGCGAGTTTCGACAGTGCGATGAGCGACGTAGACGAGTGCGACGAGCGGAGAAGGTTTAGAAATGTTGCGGTGAAAGTAAACTACAATAGTGACAGTTGCTTGACGCCGCGATCGCGTCGGACTCTGCGGAGGATGGTGTCTACCATCAGTGAACCTTGGCCAAGTATTGAAACGCCATCCAAACCTACTCTGGATACCATTTTCAGTCCAACTCACGAAATTCTTCACCCCTTGCAGTCGTTGCGGCTCGAGAGGTCGTTCTCGGCCAGACCTGTATCAAGCAATACCATCGCATCTCGTTCGACCAACAAGTCCAGCAGCTTCAGGCTGCCAATGCCACCGACGAAGTCTATTAAATTTGAAGGCTGCAAATCCGCCAAGCCACAGGCAAATCCTGACGAATTTGGTAGGTTCGTGTCCTTCAACCCTCGGTCGGAGTCTGCGCAATTTGATCCGTTTACATGTTCGACGACTAGGTCGAATTTTATCAAATTTCAGAGCTATGCGTCTTACTCGCCAAAACGAAACTACGACATTGACACTTACAAATCCTCGACGCCACAGCTGAAATTTGCTGAGTTCGAGGGCTACACGCTCCGGAGGCAGCAATCGAAGACAGCAATCACTGTAGAAGAAAAATTGGAGCAGAAACAGAATCTAATCGACAATCCCGACTATGTACTTGATGACACTCCACCAGAGACACCCAATAAAACAATCTATTCCGATGCGGAAACTGTGTCTGCGCATAGGCCGAAAGTAGTGGCAATTGTAGTGAACGCCGAGAAGAAGTTGACATTTGCTGCGTTGAACTGGGCAATCAACGACGTGGTTCAACCGGGGGACGAGATAATTATTCTAGGAGTTCTCAAACACATATTTAGTCCAAGTGAGCGTTTCAGAACTCATCCACATCTTCATCCTTGTTTCGGCCAATCTCGCAATCGCAAAATTCCCATTGATATTGTAAGCTTTTCGGGCTGTGCTGTACTAACCTTTAGTTGAATTGCTGCTAGTGGGATTCAAGATGCTGGCGAACACGGATCCATTGTTTGGAACAAACAAGGAGTTCCTACAAGCTAGTGTGACCGAAGCAACCCAATTTTTTGAACAAAAATTAGCTGTTTCTGGCAGGCGAGAAGAATGCGAGAAGAAGAAGGTAATATAACAGATTCTACGCAACTAGACTCAATCGCAAACCTACTCCACCACACATTGAGCGATGTCACGACAATGTGCAATATTCTGAATGTTACAAGTCTTTGCAGGTCAAGCTCACGGTGCGAATAGCGCCGGGTGCCTGCGCTCGATTGGTGGTTGTGCAAGAGTTAGCAGCTCTCAAAGCGACATACGCAGTATTTGACAGGTTCATTTGCTGCCTTCACATCTGACTCCAAAAAAGAAAAAAAATATAGACTTAAATCAGGATCCCATCTCTCTCAAGTGCTCTGCTGCGAATCAGTTTTGTTGTGGCATGTCGCAGGAAGACAATGAGGAACAGACGCTACTACTGCAAACATCTCTCATGTCACGCCGTGCGCATGCGCCAAAATGGGCGTTCCACAAGAACAGTCACCCCGATAGCATACAAGAGCTCTCCCGAGCCCAAGTTACTAATCTCATCCCTCATCTCAAGATCCATCTCACCGAAGAGCGCCAACTGCACCTGTCCCGAGTCTCCAAGACCCACTTTCTGGCGAAAGTTGACAAGTTTCAAATTACGACGCCGCGGCAGCCGGACAATCACACCACAAAGCTCCGACATTACCCATACGCCTAGCGCCATCTCTCAATCCTCTCAAGCACAACTGCACCAAGCTAGGGACAACCTCTCATTCAAGCTCAGGTCCTTCACACTTAGCATCGCTGCGTGCACATCGTGTGTCGGCGACGAAGCACACTCGCAGTCAAGTCGGAGCAATCAAGGCGTGATATCGATCACCATCCCCACGCCCATCTGCGCCTCATGAGCAACAATTCCAGTGGACGCAACATTGATTTTCCGATGAAGCATGGAATTCTTCCGCAGTAGATTCTTCCGAGCCCACGATCGATCGATCTGGTGGGGATTTCGTATTTCTACCCGACACCGGCTTCAGGTGTCGAAGTTGCAAAAGTAGATTGTATAGAAACACTCAAAGGTGGAGCAACTGAGCATGCACAACATCTTGTTGATTTGTTTAGTTGGTGTATTGGTTTTTGTAGAAAAGTAACAAAAAATAGACACTTCAAAATATTTTCATTTCCAATACAAGATTTCATTAGGCAATTTCATGATAGAAGTAAAGTGCAAAAAATACTCCCAATGAATCACTTGTGTTGCAGGAGGAATTTGTGTAGGAATATTAAGTTTTCAATTTGTGATTTTTATTTTAATTGTTTTATTTTTAGTTCCTGTGTATGTAGTATGCATGATTTGTTATACGTTCTGGGTTGTGAGTGGGTTCTGGCACTCATGTTAGTAGCACACAATTCTTGAGATAGATGTGTTCATGTAATTAAGACTCACTTCTTTGCAAAGTTTGTAACATCTTCTCAGACCCATTGAAATACTGTAAAAATAAATGACTCTATTATATTGCATTATAGATATATAGTTCTCTCTTAAAGTAGAAGAACAAATTTTCATAATAAGATATTATTTACATTTATTAAATTTTGAAATAATAGGTTCATTTTTTATCAAAACATGTTCAATATTTGGTATAAATATGCAACAAACAAAACAAATTTTGTGATGGAACGAAATCTACTTCCACTCATGGCATCGTTTGCTCATTCAACACTTGTTATCTTACTAAGTTTTGAAGACAGGGACGCTCAGAAGGTCACATCTTCCTCATCTGATCACCTGTAGTGATTTCATTCTGTTTTCTCTGTGTATGCTGGAAATGTGGCAATAAAAACCATCTTCGTCATTAAGTTTACAGATTGGAGACTGCGAAGAAAACGACATTAGATGAACAGCGTCTGTTACTATTCTGAGAACTATTTTGTGTTCGGGTGCAATCTTTTCAGTTGGGGGTTGTGGATGTGAGCAAGCATTGTTTCTCCGATCAAATGTAGATGTGTTTTCGATCATGAAGGTTACGATCAGAGTTGTGTGGTACCAACATGAGTATTCTGCACATTGTTGATATGGCTAACGCCGAGCTGTGTGCTCTTTGTACATTCAAAACACTGGTTACAAAGTTGAGAACATCCACCTCAAAAATGTTTGCTAAGTATCTGAAACATTTTGTGTCGCTCTCATTAGATGAATAAATTGTGCTTTTGTTTTTCAGTTCGTCGTCTGCTGCACAATTCCCTCCCTACAACTTTGATCACTGGAAACGAGAAATCTAGGCAGCTACGGTGGTCTTGATGCCAAGTTTCTCCAGGATCATATCATCAGTAGAGAAGTCGGCGGCTTTGCGGAATGTTCCACGCCCAAAGTCCAGGCTGTAGGAATCCTTAAGTCCCTCGACCAATCCGAATTCGGGTGTGAAGCCTAGCTCCTTCTCGGCCTTCTCGACGGAGGTAAAGAAATGCTGCACACGTCCAGGGCGAGTTAGTAAGGATCATCTTCTTGGCGACAATGGCAATACACAACCATGACATGAGATAGAAACCACACAGTTTTGGAGAAAATCATTTGGTGGCAGGATGCCTAACCTGGTCACGAAGTGGGAAAGCCTTCTTCTTGCCGAAGTCGAAGTCCTTGGGGTTGTAGTGTACGATTTGAGGCTCGGGGAACCCACCAGCAAGAGCACATGCCTTGGCGATACCATCGAAGGTCACATACTTGGCACCGCTGATGTTGTAAATCTGGCCGTAAGCCTTCTCATTCGCCAGCACTAACACGAACGCTCTGGCCAGGTCCTTGACGTGGCCGAGCTGCGTGATCTGCATTCCGGAGTTGGGGACCGGAATGGGGCGTCCCTCCTTGAGGCGCTGAAAGAACCACTCCTCCACAGGGTTGTAGTTGAGAGGCCCGTAAATGTACACAGGTCTGATGGAAGTCCACGCAACTCCCTTGCTCTGCAGCAGCGTTTCCGTGTCCAACTTCCCTTTGTGTCGGCTCTTGGGGTCGACTGCGTCAACCTCGAAGTGAGGAAGTTGGTCGGATTTCAGGTAAACACCGGCCGATGAGCAGAAAATGTACCTACATGAGATAACGACAAGCAATTTAACAGTGAAACAACAGAAATAGTAGGATTCTTTCTCAAGGGTCACACATGCTCTTCGTCCAGGTTGCTACATAACAAGGAAAGGGACATTCTGAAGTTTAGCCAATGAAGCTTGCATGCTTAGGGTCAATTAACTTACTGCTCCAGTCCTGGTAGAGCCTCCAAGATGGGCTCCACTTCCTTACCCTCCCTACCTGTTGAGCGAAACACAGAGGCGACGGGGTTAGTCATCGAACAAGCTTTGAAATATCGCCGATATGACTGTAGCCTCAACCAGGACGCAAAGGATTTCAGCGGGCATTGGAAACATGAATTTCGCTATCGGTTTTCACAGTTAGTAGCATGCCACACACCAACGAAATTCTTCTGTACTTGAAAGAACAAATTCTGCAGATAGGTATGAAGCCAGCACACCATTTTATCGCAGGTATGAAACCCATTCGATGAATTTACTTGGAAATGCAGAAGCATGGGAACATGGAGACGTTACCGTTGATGTCGTAGACAATGTTGAAGTTGGTGCCTTTAAGCTTCTCCTTCAGGCCGTCAAAATCTTGACGATCGCCTTGAAGGTGCTTCACCTGCGTAATGATCAAGCAATTCATACTTGAGGCTCCCAACCATCTCATAGTATTCAAATAGTACAGATCTTGTTCACTTTGAAAAACCAAATTGTGAAGACTAAATGAATCTTCGAGTGCATAGATATAAGTAGTGTACCTTGGACGAGTACTCGGCGTACTCCTCATCAGATTCTCCTGGCAGTTGCTGGGTGATGGGAGCTTTTCCTCTTGTGAACAATGTAACCTACAAGGAGGATCCCATGTTAGGGGCTCTCTCGTCTCACTGCCTTAAACCTAACACTTCTAACGTATATTCCTGGGAATGCATCACCGCGCATAATGTACCTGGTGGCCTGCCTTCACAAGCTCGCGGGCAAGGAAGAGTCCGATGAATCGAGTGCCGCCCATCATCAGAATGTTCTTGGACTCAGAGCCTGAGTCTGCTGAGGCGCGCACGACAGCCCGGCGCGAAGAGGTGCGTCCTTCCTTGAAGACGCCGACGTCCAGTGAAGACTACCCTCAAACAGACAAACACACGATCAATTCTTGGGGTCCTTCCTCATAGTCAGCAAAGAACAGACTCACATTCAGCGAGCTCAAAAAAATTCCTCACAACTCACTCCGCTTGAAATCACAACCAAAACTGTGCTTGAAACATAGGTCCGATCCTAAAACTGATAATCTAAAGACAACCCAAACAGGAGGAAGCCCAACCTTGGAGACTTGAACGGATCCATTGCTGTCCCATCGCAAACCAGCGACGGAGCCCTTGAATGCGGTGCCGGGCAAACCTGCCAAGTTAGCGGATGCGGGCTTCCTCTGGGCGATGCCAGAGCTTGAGGCCACAGGAGAGGCAGCCGGGAGAGCCTGAGCAAGGACTGCTTGAGAGGTGGCCATGGCTGCTGCTGCTGCTGGTGGTGCTACTACTACAATCCTCACTTGCACTCGTTATCCCCGCAAGATGTGAAATGGCAGTGCACGAGCTTCCCTGACTAGAGCTGCTTCATAACCATCAGTCGGGTGGCTGAGACCAGTCACCGGAGAAGCAAGACATCCATGGTTCTATGCATGCAGGTACCCTTATCCTCTTTCTGAAGCTCTTCGCAAACAACCCGTTTCGCACACCAGAGGTCCAGGTTCAAAGCGGTTGGCTCCCAGAAGATGTGAGGTCCAAATTTTGCTGCCGAACTCGTGGCTTTCACAGGGAGTGAATATGATGAATACCCGGTGAATTTGACGTGGCATGGGTGGTGATATCATCAATTGCAGTCGGTCTTTGCTGCAAGACCAACACCGAGAGATGGGAATTACGCCATCGTTGGATAATACATAACCGTGTGGCGATAGGGAGGGGTCCTCCGCTTCTTAGGGGGCTAATTCTCTCTCAATTTGCTGCCAATTGGCATCGAAGAGTGGCTTCTTCTGTGTGCCGAAACTTGAATATGTAAGTAACGAATCACGTCGACAAATCTGGTGCCCCTCCCGCAGCGCAGGGTGGTGAGAAAGAATCTGCTGCTGTTTCAACATGATTGTGCGTTACTCACGAGTATCATTCACACTCCACAAGGAAAAATTACTGCTCAGCGCAGGTTCAGAACCTCAATCATGAAACAAAGCGAACCCCAATTTTAGGTGTGATCTATTCTACTCCATGCTCACATCGACATCGACCACACTGCAGTGCGGAAATTCTCAATTTGAAACCACGAAGCTGCAAATACAGAACAATTAAAACATTGCACGCATGTCGAGAATATGTTGCATGTTTCGATGGGTTTCGACAATCTGCAAAATCTTCTTCGCCTGGCCATGGATTTAATCACCGTTCATTTGTAACCCCAGCTTTTTGGCTACTGAATGACTTGTGAATTGTTGCCTTCACTCGCACAATGCCACCGAAAAACTGAGCTCGGTACAAATGTGGACAGCTTTTATGTTCCTGTAGTTGATCAAACTAGAGATAAGGGTTTTGTTATTTGCCTGCAGCTCATGTTAAGCTTTATCCATGTCTCTCTCTTTCTCTATCTCTCTCGAGCTGCCATTAATACACAAAACACACTAATACAATTTTATACAAAACTCCTGTGTAAGAAAATAAAAATAAATAAAAATATATGTATTATGAAAATGCATGGTTGAATTTTTTTTAAAGCTCAAAATAAAATTAAGTATTTTCATCAATGTTTTGAGCTAAATTTATATATTTTTTATTTAGTGGGATTTATATATAGATTATAATTGTATTTTTTACTATTATGTGGATTGATTGTTTGAGTACATTTTAGAGATGTAGATTAAAGATACATCTACATACAATTGGATATGGATAACACTAAAGAATTCTTTATTTATAAAAGCCTACTTTGAAGGCTAGGGTACAAAAGCCTAACAAAGTCCTTGTTTTGTAAAAAACCAAAACTCTCTTTTTGTAGCCTTGGCTTTTGGAGATAATTTAAAGTAAGAAGAGGCTATGAAATGAACCAAATTAACTTTTTATAACTAATCTACATATGTTGATTTATTTATTAATTCTAATTATATAAAAACTTATTTATTTTTTCAAAATCACCTTGTTATTTTTTTCTTTAATTTCTTCTTTCATCAACTTTTTACAGGTTTTTATTTTTTATTTTTTTAATAATAAAAACCTTCTTTTAAAGTAGGTTGGCAACAAATTTTAGGAAAAAATACTATTAACAACATCTAGAATTAATTGCTCTATATCTCATTATTTTCTTTTATAGTCTTTAGGCTAACTGTCCTTAATATGAGGCCAACTGAATAAGACTTTTTGATTTAATCAATCAAAGAATTTAAAAGTTGTGGCATCTTACCTTCTCTTCTAAGTATAAAAATCTTCTAAGATTTATAGGTGTATACTTGCATTTTGTAATGATTGGCTTGAAGATTTATTCATAAACATTTAAACATGTGAGTTTCACTAAAAATAATTCATAAGAATTTTTTAATGATAATAGAGATAAAAATATTCTTGAAAAATAATTGATTGTTATGGTCTCTTGATAATGATCTTATTTTAATAATCCAATTTATAAACCTTGTAATAATAAAAGAAGAACTATTTAATTTTTCATGAGTTATTTGTAATATCCATCTATAGTATCTTATAAATATGCTTTTGTTCTTTCAAATTGAATTCTTTTCCTAAACAAAACAAATACAACTTTATAATATATTTAAAAATTATAGCATTATTATCATCATTTTTTAAAAAATAAAAATATACTGTTAAATTTTTATTTTTTTGTTTTGCTTTTACAAATGTTTTATTAGATTAGCACCAAAGCAAATGAAATAAAGAATGATTTGCAAACATTGTAATAATGCTTATACAATTTAAGATAATAAATTGTATTTTGTGTAATATTTTATTTTTATTCAAATTTGGTATTTTAAAATTTATAGTTCTCTTTAAATCCTTTTTATATGAAAATAATCTTATTTGACGTAAAAAATCTCTAAATATCTATAAAAAAAAAGGTACTATAGCCTTAAAAACACCACTTTTAGTTCTTATTGTAAAGGATATATGAGTTGCATACATACTTGGTATTAACATATTATGTTTAATTCTCAAATTTATATGCTTGAGATCTTTAACTAACCTCAAATATTGAAAAAGAATAGAAAGATTTTTGATTAAAAAATTTAATTTTAATTTTAATTTTTAAATTTAAATTAAACAAAATCATATAAGAAAAATTATTTAAAAAATCCAATAAGAAAAAATTAAAATGCTAAACTCTTTGTTATAAAGTATATGCCAAAAATATAAAATTTAAAATATATTAAAAAAAACAACATTAAAAAAATTCAGAATTTTAAGTCCTTTATTACGTATAACAATTATACATTGAACATTTATTTAAATAAGATTAAAATTTTTAAATCTTGATTGTGTACAGATATCAAATATTAAAGATTTTTTAGATGAGTTATATATATATATATATATATATATATATATATAAATCCTTCTTAAAAATGACATATAATTTTTTTAAATATATGTATTGAAAAATTTAATAATTAATAATTAGAATTAAAATTTTAAAAAGTGCTATTAAATTGTATAGAAACTTTTTTTTTGTTTATTTTTTTATTTATTTATTTACATGTCTTAGAGTCTTTATATTTAATCCTACACTTATAAAAATAAATAAATAAATAAAATTGAAAGAATAAGTTTTTATTGATAATCTAATAGAATTAATTTTATTATTTTTACATTTAATTTTTATAAAACAACTTAATATTTTTTAGCTCATAAATTTAATTGTAGCTTTAAAAAACTGTAAGAATTATAAATTTGATTTTAGTTTTAATATATACAAAAAAGTAATATTGCAAAATAATTTTTGAGCTGCTATAATCTCTTATGCCATTTTCTACTTATAATATTCTTTCTAATCATAACCAATATCACATCAACAAAAACCTCAATTTTTAAGCACTAAAAAGCTTGCAATTACTAGGTACTTTGAATCAAAGTTTGTGAACTTGATGCTTCTTGTTTAAAAGTTCTATTCCATTACTAAAGTATTTATAAGCATAACATCATGGTTTCGTTGCTAAATTATTTTATAGAGCAATAATATAGAAATCTTGAATAAAATCTTTAAACAATTGCAATAAAAATACATCATGTAAATATAATTTTCAGTGTAGAGACCTTAGTATGCAAATACTTTAATATGCTTGTCCTTATAACAACTTTTGTTTTTAAAAAAAAATACAAAAATCACAGTGCACTTTAACAATGAAATAAATAAAAATGAAATTAATAAAATCTAAAATTTTTAATACAAATTAAAAATATATTATATCTAATGAATCTATTTTTTTAAATAATATATATATATATATATATATATATATGTATTCTTTATTACATCTATATATATTTATTTGTAAAAATACTTTGTTAAATCAATATATGATTTACATTCAAATAGTAAAAATAAAACATCTCTTACTAAATTAATAAAAAATCAAGAAAATTTTATAATAATTATTTTAAATAAGAATATTTAAAATCTTATCTAAGATATCCTATCATTTATTAAAAAGTAAATTTATTTAAAAATATATATTATCTATATTTTTTAATTTTGATTTTTTTACTAATATTATTAAAGACACAAATTATAATAAAATTCAGAAATGACAGTACAGTCTTATATTATTAAAAGAGAAAAAATAGACAACTTAAATATTAATATAGAATTCATACTAGAATAATTATTGCCAAATACCAAAAGATTAAGAAGTCTTGAACCAAGATAGAAAACAAGATAAGTGTTGACAAGAGTGACAAAGGCCTTGTTCTTGCCTCTATACATACTATTTAATATAAAATTATGTAGTTATGTCCTATAAGCCATATGACATGTGTTTAATTTGTAAGATACATGTCTAATTTATAAAACAAATTTTTGACATGTATGCCATGTAACCAACTTATATTATGACTAAATTTATAATATATAACTAATTTATTGGCCAAGTTGTTAACCTATCAATCACTTATATATATATGTATATATATATATGTATATATATATATATATATATATATATATGTTTAAAGTCTATATAGCTTCAAGGAAGCTTTTTAACAAGATATCAACAATTTAACCTACTTCTATTCATTTCTATATAATTCTCATTATTTAGATAATATATACTAGTAAATATGACAATCCATTATATTACACCCTTGTCTAGATAACAAGTTCTACAAAAAGTTGTATCATTGCTTCATAAGTTGATGAAGTGAAAAATCCAACAAATAGCATTAGCAACAAATTCTAATCTTTGTTTCCCACAAAAGTAGTTAATAAGTGCTTTTAACCATTAATAATATCCCATGTCAAGACAAAAAGACTACAAAGTTATTTGATCATTATTGAAGTCTTCATAGCCATCTTCAAACCATATGTTTTGTATTCCATCAAGTATAGTACTCACCTTTAATAATATCACTAAGCATTAAGATTGTTGTACCAAACATATTATATTTTGCCATCTATTGAAGGTAGAACATATTTCTCTTGAAGATCTTTGACACAATTGCAACGTCAT